CAGGAACAAATTATCGCGCGTGGCGCAAGGCTAATCGAGCAGAGAGAAGAGGAGATCGAGCAGCTGACACGCAAGATCAAGACACTCGGAGCTGATAATGCCTCAGAGAGGAAGCAAAGACAGTTGACCAGCAAGTTGTTGGAGGACCGCGACAGTGAGCTTCTCGTGTTCAAAGCACGCTCTGCTGCAGCTGAGGCTCTCGATCGTCCACGCGTGCCTGATAAGATTGAGGAAGAGCAAGTATCGGCCTTTTTCGCGAAGCGACCTCCAGTCTGGTCACCACGACCAATTCCTAACGATCGCCGGCTGCACCACGAAGCATATCAGGCTTCTGCATGGGACGGTGCTGAGAATCAACGGCCGGAATTTGGCAAACCAAGCCCTCTGGGTTACCGCCAATCTCGACGGCACCGTTCAAGTCCGCATCCACGACAAATTCGTTACCTGATCGACGGCAAGGTCGTCGACACCGATGGGAATGATATTGCCCGGCCACGGTCTCCGCCGGCGCCGCCTGCTTTCGAGCCGCTGCAGAGTCCCGTGGGTGCTCGAGGTCCTGCCATGGCACAGGAGCGACCCGCAGCCCGTCACAGCTTGCCCATGGACCGCACTGTGTGGCCACCACTCCCTGTGGTCGCACCGAGCCACATGCAGTCATTGGCCGATTTAAGGTCAACGGCACGCAGTGAGCAATTACAACGTGTGGTCAGGCATCAGTCGATGCAAGAACTTAAACGCAGAAAAGCACATTACCAGGCCTACGTGGAAACAGAGGCCGAAGGTGGTGGAGAGCGAGAGCGAGAGCGAGAGCTCCCAGAGATCTGAAGCCCAAAAACACGCCAAAGCCCATGCCGTGAGCACTGCGGTATGACATTGGACTGGGAGCCTCGTTATCTGCCTATTACGAGCTTGCGATTCGAGGAACCGCAACGATGACACTGTTCTGCAGTGAGGGCTCCTCTCCGACGTGTTCAGCGGGGATAGGAAGCCCTGCATTGACCACTCTGCGCTACTCGCTCAAAAATCAGTCTAGCCAGGAGCTCCCGTGACCCCGATGACGTCGGGAGAGCAATCCGTAAGCCGAAGGGTTGTTTAATTGCAGTGTTACCTCACGTCTCCAGCTGCTCACCGCTACAACGATATCATCTGGCCAGCACATTGTGTGTTGATAGTTTCTTCTGTACCTTATGACCCCAAACCAACGAGGACATTCAACTACTTGACATTTTGAAAATCATCACTCTCATCAACGACTTTCTAAACTCTCGATATCATGTCTCGGCACGACTCACGTAGACCACGGAGACGTGACGATTATGATGCTAGCGACGAATCCGACGACGACGTTGGCCCCCTCCGTTCTCCTCAGCCAAGGGATGACCTGGACAGGAAGTCTTCGAGACGATCCCGACACTCTTCAGACTCGCCGTCTGTTCCGCCTCCTCCGATTGGGAAGAACCGAGGTCATAGCTACGATGATGGCATACAACCTAGACGAAGACCTACAGAAGACGACTACGACGATGAACCTCCGCCCTCCCGTGGATCAAGAAGATCTCGACCCAGTCACCACGATGATGATCCACCACCACCGTCACGAGACAGGCATCGGCGGCGTACGGACCAAGATATGGAGCCTCCGAGACGAAAGGACACATTGAGAGACTATGCAAGGGACGACGACGGTCGACGTCGAAGGTCTGACCGTGATGCACCGCGTCATCACGACGACGATGAGACGGAATACGAAAAGCCTCGACGCAGCACGAGAGACAAGGAGCGGGAGAAGGAGCGCGACAGGTACGGCGATCGAGGGCATCATGACGATCGTGGGTATGGTACCGAGGCACCTCGCCGCCGCCGTAGGGACGAGGAGGAGCGAGGGTATCGAACAGATGGTCGTGACGCAAGGCGGGAACGTGAACGTAGAAGGGAGAAGGAACGTCGACGCCATGATGATAGTGATGAGTCCCGAGACCGTGATCGCGATCGGGACAGGCGACGTTCTAGCCACAAGAGCAAATCGTCGCCACCGAAGAAGGTGGTGCCTGACATGGGTGAGGTGCTGGAGAAGGGTCAGAAAGGGTGGAAGACCGTCGAGCCAGTTGCGAAGCCTATGTTGAAAGCACTGGCGAGCAAGTACCTCGAATGAAATGCATGATGGATAGCGACGACAGAAAGAAGGACGCGATCAGAGCGAGGACCACAGCACGGATGCATGCCACTTGAACGTGATGCGTCATGGCGAAGAGTGATGCATTAAGGCACGATCGAAGAAGATTTACCATGCGGATGCGAAATCATATACCAGCCATGTAGTGTTGCAACATATCAACCTACAAGAGCCATCATCGTTGACCGTTGGCGCGAGGACCGCTTCACATGTATGCTCAAACAGACCTGACATGAAGCAAAGCGCTTTGACGATCCCAAAGCAATAAGTAACGTGTAAAATCCAGGATTCATCTTGGTAACGGTCGGAAATGGTGGGAAAGCTCGTGATCGTACTACTAGGTCAAGTCTCTTATATTGACTACATCACAGCATAAGCACTTGCATAGCTCACGCTGCTGTCGCTAACCTTGACCACCTCACTGCTTTGCTCATACCTCACGAATTTGAAGAAGCCCGCATCTTTTCTGCCATCCTTGCGCACCTCTTCAATAGCTGCCATCATCACCCCAATAGGGTGGCGACCGCAGACCGTGTTGCCGGTATCTTCCAGTGTATCTAACCATGCCTTGTGATCGCCGCTTTCGCAGGCCGAGATGCACTCAAAGTCCACAGCTTTGATAGACTCATGGATTGGCGGGCTTCGTGGTGAGGCTGACGAACTCTTGAGATTTTGCTGCTGCGAGCCTTGGGAGCGGTAAAGCGTATAGCGGAAGCGCAGACCCCAGTGAGCAAAGTCCGAAGATATGACGAATGCTGTGCTTGGATCCGCGAGGTAAGGAGCCAGAAGACGGCCGAGTTGCACTTCGGTGGCCATCGATGTGTTGCCAACCATGATAGGCGTTATCGGTGGGTAATTACTGGTGTCGTTGCCGAATGATCTAGACATGCGAGTGAGAACATATAATACTGTGCAAAATAGTGCCACATACTGCGACAGCATTTTGTAGATGTAGGGGAGATGCATCTCCAGGCTGTGCTCGTCCTCGTCGACAGACTGTGACATCCACTCGAATAGGCCACTCTTCTGTAGCTCGGCTGTCGTTGCCCGATCGATAGTCAGGTTGCCGAGAGGGGTGGCGTAATGTGTGCAGCGAGTGAGAGCCGCCTTCGTTAAGTAGTGATGGTGCGAAGGTCCTAGCAGGAAGACACGCTTTCTATATCATCAAGCTTGTCAGATAATCATCACAGACTTGTGCCACTCGACAGTAATGAGAATGAGACCGTTTGCCAGATTAGGGTTTGGCGAAGTTGCCATAGGACGAGAACAGTTGACACTGAAGGGCAGTTCGATAGCATTTTGTTGTAGGCCAGCGGTATAAGCTGGACTCGTTACTCACGCTTTCGAGACGTCCCACGAACGATATGCCCAGGCAGCTGCAGGTCCAGAGTAGGAGTAGCCGGCATGCCTATCGACTCTCAGCTTAGTGACCTACCTCAATCGAAGAGCCACCTACGGCGTAATAATGATACGAGCCCCAGAAACAGGCAGCTCGTCGATAGACTGGCCTTCGGTGCGTGGTCCAATGCATCGAACAGGCATTCTTACTGCTGCAAGCCATCCATCGAGCTGCGAACTGAGCTGTGATTTGGAAGCGCTGTACCACGAGTCGGCATGGCTGGCTTCGCGGACGATCTTGTTGTTCGCCATGTTGGTGTCGTGGATGTCGATGTTGAGCACAGGGCAAGTGAACCCTTCGAAGATAGCGTAGCCACTAGCGCGCGCGATTCGAGACGCGTGCAATCGCGTCGCTTTCGGCTGCTCAACCATACAACATTACAGACAGGATATCAACAGCAGTCTTAGACAGCATACAATGGCCCTCAAACGCAAGCGCTCCTCGATCTCCTTCTCCTCGCCAGCAACCATCTGCTCCACCACGACTACCGACTCTCCATCGATTGCGATACCATACTATTACCAACAGCAGAAGCCCACGCCAGCACTGTACGAGAAGCCCACATGGGCATTTCCAACTTACGACGACAGTACATCAGCAAGGCATCTGAACAGCAGGACCCGCAAAAGACACCGCGACTTGAGGCCTGGAGAGCAACAAGTATACAGTGCGTCCTGCCAGCCTGGTGCCTGCCATAGACATGAGCATGCTTGCTGATGGGTGCGTCGCAGCGTCTACCATTAGTCGACTATACGATGCACAACGAAAGAATCCGGATGCAGCGCCCGTGTTATCTAGCCAGACTGTCGTACCAGTACACGACCGCCCCCAAAAGAGTACGCTCCACGCTTTCTGGAATCTACCTAGTGCACCAGCCAGAGTAGACGTCATGCAGATCGATAGCGGACAGTCAGCCGATCAGACACCGAAATGCGAGGACTGCGAAAGATCGTTGAAGGATGACGATGCCATGGATCTTGACGATGGTATGCTGGAGCAAGAGACGGCTTGTGCAATATGCAGAAGACATGTCTGCAAGCTTTGCTCGATTCCGAGTGGGCAGCGCATTTGTTTAAGCTGCGCCTCTGGACGATGACCAGGACACATATAATGCCCTTCCAATACACGTCGACACACGGAGTTACAAAAATAGCATGCAACGTCTTAACTCCGCGAGCCGTACGGTATTGGTACAGCAAACCACGCTGTCGCAGCGTCTATATTAAACATCATGGCTGGCATGCTCCAGAACCAGCAAGGCAACTAGGACCGTCGGACGTTTCTCGGTTTCTGCCCAACTGCAATACATAGTTTGCGCGGGTGCTCCCGCTTAAATGTTGTGCTGCTTTCGAGGGTCGAGAATTATAGCGGTCTTGTGGTAAGTTTCAACGATGACACTTCACATTCGAGCTCTTACTGACAACTACAAAGGTGTAGTGGTTATCACGTTTCGTTTACAGCAGCCGTCCAGCCCCTGTGCCGAAAAGGTCCCGCGTTCAATCCGCGGCAGGATCACTTTTTGGCGTGTCTCGTGTGCAAGCAAGCAACCAACGGATCGTTTTGTGCTTATGGAAAGGCTTGGTGTGCTCGTAGTTGCATTCTGTGTTTTAAGCATACAAGTATGGACGTGGCCTGGACGATGATCATGACCAACTCCCTTTCTTCAAGCTACATCTCTTCTGCCAGCCTTAGATACCTTGCAGCAGCTATTGATCACAAGCACAACAATGATGGCCGTTCCAGTAAAGATACTCTCGAGCCTTTCTCGACATCTTCCCACGCTTTAACACCGCTGAGCAGGTCTATATGGTCTCTTCACAGCGAGAATTTTGAGGTGAAGCCGATCGATTGGGATGTGGCCAACCCGAAAGCGGCGCTGGAAATATAATCTTGGGGAGCCAGTATTAGCCTCTATATGGACAGGGTGTCTGCTGTGTGTCAGAACATAATAGCTACCACAATTTCTGAACTAGTAAACTGGTTTTTCTTTGACCTCCAGCTACGACATGAACACCTCAACCGTAACCTCATTACTCCACCCAGCTTTCTCGCCACTCTCCCTCCATGCTCTCTCAACATCAACCTCCAATACCTTCGCACAGCTTTCGCTGACCTTCACACAAGCCACCGGAATCGGCTTCCCAAAGATCATGATCATAAAGTTCTTCTCGATGGTCTTTTTCTCCAAATCACTAATGTATATTCCCACGACGCCCAGAGCTTTCAAGCTCATCCATATCCGCAGACGGCCATTTGTCTCAACATACATATCAAGCCCATTAACCGCCGCAGAACCCGTCATCTTACCTACCAAGCCCATCATGCCAACCTTGGTAGCTTCACCTTTGACCTCGAACGGCCGCAAAGCATAGGCGGACAGGATGTCCCACCCCTGCACACCCAGCTCAACGCCTACCATAGCACTCCTCCCGCCTCGGCTCATTGGTGGGCTGACATTGCCGCCTACAAACGATGAAACGACGTACTCTCCTTCTTCCGTCCCGGGGAAGTCGTCCAATTGCACAAACTCGCTCAAAGATTGTCCCGAAACATTGAACACGCCCAGGATCCCCGTGCCAGTCCGGGCAGAGCCAACGTAGGTGCTGATCTTCAGCAGCGCAAGGCTATCGTACGCATTGTACGGGTCCGTTGTCTTTCCAATGGTTTGCGGGCGTAGGATGACAGTCTTCCCTCTTGGCGTCTGAGCCGTCATCTGGTGCAACAGCTTGATGTCGTGTTTTCCTGGCTCATCAGTAAAGTATATTGGTCCTCCACTCACACACCTCGCTGCTGCATGGAAGCTGGCCCAAGGGTGCGAGGTCTGAAACATATCCCAGTCCGGCAGGACGTTCAGGTGTTGAGTCAGGAGACTGTTGTGTGCATTGCAGAAGATATGCCACGGATGACTTGCATCGACTTCCGGGAAGAAATCGTCCGAGTTGCGCACGAGGAGTAGTGGTTTGTTGCGCGGTAGCTGGGAGTGGAAGAGCATCTGTGGGTTCTGCGACATGCAGGATATCGCTCGGCTGCTGAAGTGCCGCAAGTGGGCAATGGTCCAGGCATCTTGGTAGGTGGTCGTCATGGCACGTCGATCGGGAGCGTGCTCAAGCAGATCGATGAAGAACTGGGCATCTGTCTTTACACTGTCGACTCCTGATGAAGAAAGGAAGCGGTAGAAGTCGTCGTACATTTGCTTCGCATCTTCGGCTACGACGACGGTGAATTTGCCTGCTGCCACGCCTGCCTCTTTCTCCACTTGGATGGTCTTGTAATTATCTGCTATGCTTCCCTTAGCTGAGACGCCGCCCCAGTAGCCTAGTATAGCGTGCCAGACAGCGATGTGGTTGACGTTCGGATGTCGTTTGCGGATCTCTGTAGTCGTTGCTTTGAGCCCGTCTGGGAAACCCTCCTTATTGGCTTCAAAGTCCTTCCAGCCGCGGACAAACTGCGTCTCTCCAGCACTCAGGCTCTGCCAATTATCATCGATGATGAGATTGGTGATGTTGATGTTCTCCTTCGATAAGCTATCTAATGCTTCGTATATCCGCGGTGCTGAGAGATTCTGTCCCAGGCCATTCCAGGTACAGTACGTCAGACCATCGTACCACTCTTCCAGCCACTCAGGCTTGACGTTGTCGTCCATCAGCGTCTTGGTCTCGTCATCTGAGGTGAGTGTGCCGTACGTGCTGACTACTTTGCGAGCATGATACCAGACAGCGGCGTTCGCCACTTCGAATGTGTCTGCCACCGCCACCAACACCCTAGCAGTTCCGGTCTCTGTGCGGTCATTGCGGCCTTTGATGATCACGTTGCCATCGCTATCGTGAACGAACGTTGTCATCAGGTCCTCCAAGCCACTGATGGCAAGACACACGACATGAAGCCCGTCTTCTCGCAAGAAGGACAGCTGCACACCATCTTTATCAAGTTCGAGCTTGTTCTTTCCCTGCCTCGGAGCCAGCCACGGACTCCACAACCTCACCAAAGCAAACCAGCGCGAAGAACGAAGAGGCTTTCCAAGTCGATGATGCTGATACCCAGACACCGGGTCTTTCGCGGCTTGCACCGGGCAAGTCAAGCTGTACAGATAAGTGTTGTCGGTCTCAGGCTTCTCACTCTGCACCTTGATGTCTGAGCTGATATCGCCAAAGAACTGTTTCAGCTCGTGAGCTCGATGAGCTTTGTGATCCATGCCATGGTACTGCAGCGCTCCGTCATCAATGCCGCTCGTATCCTTGACCCAGACCCAATCTTTGCCTTTCGACATGCGGAACTTGATTGTGAAGCTGACGACTTGGGCATGCTTGGGCTGGCCTGGGAGTTCAGCGGTGAACCAATACCGCGTCAGGCTGCGGTTCTTCTGTCGATTGAGAAGAGTGACGTCGTTGTAGACCTTCGTAGGCTCAAGATCCAGCTCGCTCCAGTCGTAGTGACCATTGTGGTTGTGCCATAAGCATACTGATGGCTGCTCGTCTGCGTCTTCCAACAGAGACGGGTTCGCAGTCTCCAGCAAGACTGTAAAGCGGACGCTGTGCCCACCACGAGCAATCTGGGTTGCCTGGCCCAAGGGTGGGATACATGTCACTTTAGCATGTATGTCGCCGAACGAGTCTTCGTCAGGATAGAAGGCCGGTCTCTGGTCCGGCGGCTCCTGTTCTGGTAGGTGGTCTCCCATTGCTGGAGCAGGCGGCAGTGCTGGATAGACTCGCTGGCCAGTGGATATGTCGCAGTAGCCAAACGAGATGCCTTTCTGCTTTGCTGGTCTTAACACCATGCCTGTTTCTCAACGTTCGATCTGTAACGGTAGTAGTGTATCAACCTCGCTCGGTGCTTCAAGAACGAAACGGAATGGAAACACAACTGGACGTGTACTTGCCTAGCACTGCGATATTTGAGCTGAGCAACAACTACCTCATCGTTGCTCTGAACCCGCCGCTGCTGCAGGAACCGCGAAGTGTGGTCACCAGGCTCCATTGTTTCTTCTCTTCTGGGAAGGCAATTCAGGGCCGAGCTCGCAGCTCCCAAGCTTCAAACAATTATTTCAGGGCACGACCGCCATGGTCCTTCCTCCGCGCCCAATGTTCGACACGGTCTGCACCTTCCCGCTATCGTCGGAGCTCTTCGCGCAGGTCGTCCACCCGAGCGAGCCGTTGGTCGCGGTCGGGTTGAGCAGCGGGCATGTTGCGACGCTAAAGCTTCCATCTTCGTCGGACGACAATGGCTTAGCACAGTCAAGAGGCCGACGTGGCAGCAGTGGGACGGACGTAGTGGAGGCAGCGTGGAAGACGAAGCGCCACAAGGGCAGTTGTAGGAGTTTGGCGTACAGCGTCGATGGATTGCAGCTGTACTCTGCCGGCACAGATGGCGTGGTCAAGGCGGCCGATTGCGAGACTGGGAAGGTCACGGGCAAGGTCGCAATACCGCTGGACCCGTCGTTACGTGCTGGACAGGTCGATGCGCCAACCGTGCTGCATGCGCTGAGTCCGCAGACGCTGCTGTTGGCTACCGACTCTGGCGCATTGCATTTGTATGATCTGCGCGACCCGGCGCCGTCTCTGCCTCTGGACTCAAGCAAGACTGCCTTCACAGGGTCAAAGCCGTCGCAGACGCACCATCCGCATACGGATTACATTTCTTCGCTCTCTGCAATTCCGGCATCTTCTGCATCAACCTCAGGCTTTTCCAAGCAATGGCTGACTACAGGCGGCACAACACTGGCCCTCACTGACCTACGTCGTGGGGTGCTAGTGAAGAGCGAAGATCAAGAAGAAATCCTCATGTCTTCACTCTACGTCACTGGTTTACCAGCGAAGAAGAGTACAGGCAGCACAGGCGAGAAAGCTGTGGTTGGAGGCGGCGACGGCGTCATCACGTTGTGGGAGAAAGGCCAATGGGATGATCAGGACGAGCGGATTACGGTCAGCAAGGAGAAGGAAACGCTGGATGTCATGGCTGAAGTGCCGGAGGGCATTGGTGGGATTGGTAGAAAGGTTGCGGTCGGACTTGGTGACGGCAAAGTGCGCTTCGTACGGTTAGGCATGAACAAGGTCGTTGATGAAGTGCAGCACGATGAGATTGAGGGTGTGATTGGGCTAGGTTTTGATGTGAGTGGTAGGATGATCAGTGGTGGTGGACAGATCGTCAAGGTATGGGAGGAGCATATCGCTGGTGCTGCTGAAGCGGAGGAGGACGACGAGCCAGTCGTGTCGAAGAGGACAGCGGATAGCAATGATAGCGACGATGAGGCGGGAGACGCTGAAGAGGAAAGCGAGGAGGAGGAGAAGCCGCGGAAACGTAGGAAGAAGAGGAAGCGTGGGAAGGGTCCAGTCAGTGCTGGTGGAGGTTTGAGCTTGTCTGGGCTGGATTGAGTTGTCAAAAAGTTCCGTGCGATATACCCAACATGCGATGTTCTCGGCGTTCGAAGCCTGGAAGGGGTTAACGCTAGGCGATTTCGCCAAGGCGTGAACAAGGAAAGATGAGTCAGCTTGCAGTTTCATCAATATCACTTCATGCTC